AGCGAGCATGTTTGGTGTGTCGGGGATTCGAACCCGCGACCCTTAGATTGCGAGTCGAGCACCTTATCCACCTGGCCATGCCGGGCTTCGTATAAGTATGTTTGCCGTCAATAACACCCTTTTCGGAATTTTGATGTTAAACGTAAAGTTCTTTGAAAATTAGCATTCTTACTATTTCGTTTTCTCAAAGATTATCTAGTATTGACTGGATATTTTTTATTTTTCAATCTTTTCTGCTCATCGATTACTCTTTTTTTATATTTACTTATCATTTTATTCCTGCAGGTGACAAAAGAAGAGTTCTTTGACTATTACAATGGCGTTAGTGCTTCTATAGACGAAGACGCCTATTTTGATCTGATGATGCGAAACTGTTGGAAACTGTAAAAGAGAAAACACAAATCTCCATCTTACTTTTTCACCCACAGATATCCTCATCGTACTTTTTTCCCTACAAAAGAATTTCGTCTTTTTCTTTTAACGATAATTCCATCTTTTTTTACTCCTATTTTCACAATAATCACATCCAAAATTTTCTCTCTTTCTTTCTTTGTCGTAAATATAATCCCTCTTTTTCCGTCCACAATAATCTTAAACTTCTACCATTTTCCTCAATAAGTAACTTGTTACATTTTTCATGCTAGATAAAGTTGATTGCTGCTAGCTAATTTCGATGTGTTGTTGTTTTGCCACTATTTAATATCCTCGTTCATTTGGCGTTTATCGTTGCCACTTTTCTTTTACGCATAATTTTGTCACTTGGTATTAAACATAAGCACGAGTATTAGAAATGTTTATCAACATGTTCTTCAAGACGTGAAGATTACCTTTAAACCTGTAGATAATTTTATAGGTTTCTGGTAAATAGAACCTATATATACGTAGTAATTATTTTGAAGTACAGATTATTAAAAAAAAAATTTCCTTTCTGTGACGTTTAGTTTTCTTGACAATGAAATGGACATATTAGAATAAATACCTTGTTATTGTGATTGGTGTATGCAGATATATGTGTAGCTAGTTGCATTTCAACAATAAAGATACGAATGGCCTCGAATCGAAAAACTGATATTGTATTTTAAATTACTTCAAACTGCTACGACTTAGAGCAATATTCGGTGTTTGCTTTCTGTTGTCGTTGAAATGTTAATATAAAATAAATGCCATGAGACTCACGTTGTTTTGTATGTTACTGGAATAATCACGAACAGGTTTAAAAACACATTTAAATAATTCACATATCACACACACTCACATAACGCCATTTTAGACCTTACTCCTAAAATACTTCAAATATCACACTCACATAACGCCATTTTAGACCTTACTCCTAAAATACTTCAAATATCACACTCACATAACGCCATTTTAGACCTTACTCCTAAAATACTTCAAATATCACACTCACATAACGCCATTTTAGACCTTACTCTTAAAATACTTCAAATATCACACTCACATAACACCATTTTAGACCTTACTCCTAAAATACTTCAAATATCACACTCTCATAACACCATTTTTGACCTTACTCCTAAAATATTTCAAATATCACACTCACATAACACCATTTTTGACCTTACTCCTAAAATACTTCAAATACCACACTCACATAACGCCATTTTAGACCTTACTCCTAAAATACTTCAAATACCACACTCACATAACACCATTTTTGACCTTACTACCTAAAATACTTCAAATACCACACTCACATAACGCCATTTTAGACCTTACTCCTAAAATCAAAAAGTTGGTTTCAGCACAAATCTACATAATAGACTATCTGCGCTCTGCCCACCATAGGGAATCTAACCCCGTTTTTTATCGTTGTATATCCATAATCTTATCGCTTACCCACTACAGTGGACTAGAACTAAAAATAAGGTATCCGACCCTAGTACTAAAAAGGTGAGTTAACTTTGTGCAACATATTTAACATAACTAAAAATAAGATATCCGTCCCAAGTACCAAAAATATTTGTTAAATTTGCACAATATATTTAACAGAACTAAAGACAGGATAACCGACCGAAGAACTAAAAGGAAGAGTTAACTTTGTACAGCGCATCTAACAGAACTACAGACAGGATATCCAATCCAACTACTAAAAGGAAGAGTTAACTTTGTACAGCGTATCTAACAGAACTACAGACAGGATATCCAATCCAACTACTAAAAGGAAGAGTTAACTTTGTACAGCGTATCTAACAGAACTACAGACAGGATATCCAATCCAACTACTAAAAGGAAGAGTTAACTTTGTACAGCGTATCTAACAGAACTACAGACAGGATATCCAATCCAACTACTAAAAGGATGAGTTCACTTTGTACGCCATATTTAATAGAAGTAAAGACGGGATACCCGCCTCAAGTACTAAAAGGATGGGTTAACTTTGTACAGCATATTTAATAGAAGTAAAGACGGGATACCCGCCTCAAGTACTAAAAGGATGGGTTAACTTTGTACAGCATATTTAATAGAAGTAAAGACGGGATACCCGCCTCAAGTACTAAAAGGATGGGTTAACTTTGTACATCATATTTAACAGAACTGAAGACAGGATAACCGATCCAAGTACTAAAAGGATGGGTTAACTTTGTACAGCATATTTAATAGAAGTAAAGACGGGATACCCGCCTCAAGTACTAAAAGGATGGGTTAACTTTGTACAGCATATTTAATAGAAGTAAAGACGGGATACCCGCCTCAAGTACTAAAAGGATGGGTTAACTTTGTACAGCATATTTAACAGAACTGAAGACAGGATAATCGATCCAAGTACCAAAAGGATGAATTCACTTGGTGCAATGTTCTTCTTTCTTCACTGTTTAACATATTGATGTCCTAACAAACCAAAACATAGTAGAGTATAGTGTTTAAACGTAAACATTAACTTACCTACATTAGCTATCTCAAAAACACTCCAGAGTTTAATGTTACTAGCTAGGATCTAATTTAAAAGCTTTACTCTGTACTATAGCTACAGTGGAAAAAATCATATATCACTTCTTGTGGTACTTATGTTTAAGTGTACAAAGAAATGAAAACTACTCTTAAAATCGAATATCTTGGTTTGCTGTTTAAGGAAGTAACTTGTTGTCCCCCCAAAAAAAATCCCTAGCACTCCAAATAAAACTGCCAATTTTCGTGAAAACATATTTGTATTTTGATACGATCTAATATTTTGCACATTCTTAGTTTTGAACCGTTTTCTTTGTTCTATGATCCAACCTTGTTGTAGAAAACGTTCCTAACGATATTAGAATATCAATCATCTTTGAGAAGTTTTTTTTTTGAGTTTTGAAATAAAAATAGTTGCACCACGTAATATAAATAAGCGTAAAAATACAGGAAATAGAAAAAAAAATATTTAATTTCAATGAAGAATTAATCAGGACATAATTACAGTGATTGGTTGGTTGAAGTTAAGTACAAAGCTACACATTGGGCTATCTGTGCTCTGCCCACTACGGGTATCGAAACCCGGATTCTAGCGTTATAAGTCCGCAGACATACCGCTGTGCTACTGGGGGGCTAATTACAGTGATAAACAGCAATTAGAAATAATTGCCCTGATTTAATTTTTCTTTGAATTCAAATACAAAATTAAATAATTTTTTCTATTATTACCAATTTTTTTCGTCCAATTTTTTTCAGATATACAACCACACTTTTATAATTAATTATTGATTAATTATATTACAAGTGTGAAGTAACAACCAGCGAACGCTGTATTACTTAATATCAATTGTATACTTTATTACAATAAATATTTTAATATTTTTAATAATCGTTACATTATCTGTTAAAAAAAAAATCCTGCATTAGTCGTCAAACTTCAAGATATTCAACTTTCCACACACGCACACAAAATATAAAAAATAAAGTACAATAAACGTGCATGTTCGCTTCATCTATTGGTTTTTGATAACATCTTTTTGTTCACGAATAGTTGGATTGTGCATGGTAGTACTGGTGTAAAGCATAGTTTGTCAATTGCTATAAAGAAGGTGATACGGTAGTTTCGGTTTTGTGGGTTTTGGTATTGTTTGATAAAGTCAAAGAAAGTATTTTTGGTTGCATCTATAATTTGGTTTACTCTTTCTTCTTGGCTCGTTTTGGACTTTATATTGTTTTGATTGTTGTGATTGCTTCATTTGTTTACGTGTTTCTTGATTGGTTGGTTGTGTGTGTGTGTGTGCTGCTTCTGCGTAAGTATAAGATGTCGACTGTGCGTGTGAGTTACTTGTCTCTGTAGTTTTTGATGTTGGTAATAAGGGTGTTTTTCTATTTGCTCTCTTTACATTTGCCTCAGGGTATTGTGTGTGTATGTGTCGTTAGGATTTGGCATGTTGTGTATGTTATATATTCGTGTTTTAATGGCCTTATATTTAGAACATCCGTTGTAGTTCGCCGTTGCTGTTGGTAGTTACAGCATAGAGGTTTTTAATTTTCTTTTGGGCAGTCTAAGTTTCGGTGCTCTTCCCCACATCCCACACAGCATGGGAGAGCTTCTTCTTCATCAGGATTCGGTCCATGTTTGGACCAAAGAGGGTCAGGTTCAGCGTAGACCTCTTCCTCCCTCTCTGGAATTGTTATTTTGTTTACACTGTTAGTGAATCCCAGGTAATGACCCTTGTTACGTTGTTGTTGAATTACTCACAGTATGTTAAATTTTGCCCATTGTCCGCAGTTTTCATTAACATACCCTTTTCGTGCCATGTCCAACGAATGGGGTAATATTAACTCGTATATTTTCACTAGCTTCACTTATGTATGATCGCACTATTAGTTAAGTTGGTGTTCACAATACAGTTCCACTTAGCAGTCATATATATATATACACCTGGAAAAAAGTTAAGCACCCCCGTCTTTTTTTCAAGTGATTCAGATTCGACGTTCTTGTGACTGATTATAAATTACCATTCAATCTAAACGTGTTTATCAAATGAAATTATGCATTATTGGGCACAAGAAAAC